CCACTTGCTGCTTCCCTCCCTCCCCCCCACCTGCTGCCCCTCCCCTCCCCCCACCTGCTGCCCCTCCCCGCCCCGGCTGGGAAGCCCTCCCGGCCAGGGCGTGGGGGCGGGCCTTGCGGGTGCCGTGCTCACTGAGGGCGAGAGGGGGCGCTGCATTGGGTCCTCCGTGGGAGGGAAGAGAACGTGGAAGGCGAAGGTGGGTGGTCACACGTAGCTGGAGGACATGGAGTGTGGGCCCGGCTCCCACCCAGCACTCCTCCGCACCCTCAGTGGATACCCTCCTCCAGGTCCACACAGGTAGTGGCTAGCATCGGGTACTTTGAAAGCTTCTCGAAAGTAGTCAAAGAAGACGTTAATCTGGCATCTCTCAGACTGTGGAGAAATAGTCATGGCCTCTGGGGGCTAGGTTGTAGCTAGCTGTGGACACAACTCTAGCTGCTTTTGGATTCAGGACAAGTGGACAAATCACGAAACAACCCCCACTCGTTGGGGAGAATGCCCCCAGACAGTGTTGGCCCGCAGGAGAAGGCTCAGCATAAGGACGCTAGGAGACGAGCCATCCTCAACCAGAAGGCCTGCTGTTCCACGAAACCAGCGTCAGCGGTCAGCCTGGACCAGGACTCCCGGAACATAAGTCGTTAACACCAGCCTTGGTGCTCAAGGCTCTGGGCTAGGTTGAAATGAGCACCTGAAAGCATGGAGTTAACCTTCTAGGTGAGAGAATGTAGGGGTGATTCACCCACAACAGACTGGAGGGGTGATTCACCCACCATGAACTTTTTTCTGTGGGCCCTCAGGGCAGCCGAAGCTTTTCCAGTTAGTGGATTTGCTGGCTGGTGTGAGAAAAGAAGAATGGAGAACGGGCAAGCTAGCATCCCGGCTTCCTGTATGACCAGGGTCTTGTGGATGCTTCCGGAGTTGGTGGGGCTCAGTCACGGGCCACTCGGGTAGGTCAGAGGAGTGATCTTAGCACCTCTTGAAAGAATGAAGCAAGTTGACGTCTTCTCAACCCTGCTGCCGTTCTCATCACAGTACTAAAAAAAGGAAGATGACATTGGAGAGAAACCTGGTGAAGAACTTTGTCGGATTGTGGCCAGTGGGTCACCCGAGCGCTTTGGTCTGTTTCAAGATGGTGGAGCCATTTCTGAAACCCTAAGTTGAAGCAAAGTAAAATGGGAGGTTTGATTGTGCTTCTCCAAGAGTAATACCACTTGGCCAAAAGTAGGCCTTGTTCCAGGGCAAAAGCTCATCTCTGGCAGCATGGAATTTTCTATCCATTGATAGTGAGTCAACTTAGAGCTGCCGACCTTGCCTGGGTGAAACGTTGCATCCTGAAGGCATTAAGAGGACGTATTAGGAGCTGCAGAATTTTGCCATTTGAAGTTTGGAACTTACGAACCTTCTGGGGATAATTTCTTGTTTAATGTTCACCTGGAACTCTCTTCCTAAACATGGGTAATTATAGTTGCCACATGAGTCTGTTAAGAGGCGAGTGTTCACACCAGCCTTGGAACTATCTTAACCACCTCAGAGTTCTTAATGAAATTCAATAAATAAGACAATAATAATAATTAATTCTGTGATAGTGGGTAATGTACTAGATGTAAAATAGTGTTCCCATGGCTGATTATTTGCATAGTCATTACTAAAAGGGCTAAATTGTATTATGAGAATATAACCAACGCCTGTGTCTACATTGCATAACATACACTGAGGGATTTAATTGGTTGTCCGAATTTGACTTTAAAAACAATTTAAAAGTGCTAACTGTACATTAGCATCTATATTTCTAACTGTAAAATTGTGTGTGTAAACAAACAGAATGGTAATTTAAGGACAAATCCCAGAATGTCCAGCACATTGACCTTGAAAGAAAAAAATGAAAACTGATCTCTTTCTCAATTATGGTATTACATTAATTAAAGACTGTACTCAAGTGTATATAAAATGGTTTTTTATAACCTCTAACCAAGGAACCACATTTTGAGTGGCCTGAGAACTATCACATTTCTAACTGGTAAATTTCACCTAATGTGGCTACTGACGTTATCCTTGATGGTTCATGGTGAGGATGAGATTTCGATTGTAGAGATTCCTCATCATCTTTTTGGTGCTTCAGACAATTAAATTGTAAAGAATAAACCTTCCCCGAGTAGCATTTTTAAAGGAATAGGTGATGATTTTAAACACACCAGACAATGGCAATAGTGAGTAATAGCACTCTTCAATCATAATGAAGAAATACGGAGTCAAGCTCAGTTTCCAGAATTTTGGATCTTAGTAGATCGTTCTGCTTTGCTCCTTCAATAGTAGAGTCCTCCTCATCTTCTGATGTACTACAGCCATCACCTATAGGAAGGTGATCGCAGATATTGGTTGATCTTCTTGGAGTCAAGTATCTGGATACATAATGAAGTTCCTCATGCAGACGCTCTGATCTCCATTCTGCTAACCGTAAAGGTCATGGAGTGGCAGTGTGAGCCAGGTCTGGCCTCTCTGTGCATCTTGCCTTACCTCCACAGTAGTAAAGACAATAGACACAAATACCTTTAGATGTTGCATGTGATCACTGGTTTATCGTTGATCCAGTGCTTTCTAGTACCCTGTGTCCATTCTGCTGCACTCCTGACTTCATTTATCTGGCTCCATCAGGCATTAGAGTGTGAAACCCCAAAATTCTAGTCAGTCACTCCCTAGGACTTTTGGGTATCAGGAAGAAAAATCAGTGGAATAAGGAGTCCAATTCTCTGTCCATCTCTGTTTCTAGCTCCTTGCACATTCAAATACTTGTTGGCCGAAGCCCACCTTGGGAGCAAAGCAGGCAGCCTTGAGTGATAGGCTTCCAGACCAGGAAGCTGCCATCCTAGAGGAAATCAGAGCAGTAAATTTCTTGTAAATAACCAGGAAGACTAATAGGGAACTTAATGTCTCTTCAAAGACAAACATTTTGGGACCTTAGCAGGTGTACATCCCTAGCCCTTTGTGTCTCAACCGCCCATGAAACCCCTAGACAGCGCACCAGCCTGGGACTCTGTTGTCCCCTCCTGGCCTGAGCCAGGAGCTCTGTCCTCTCTCTCGCTGTATCTCTAAATAAAAGCCTCTGCCCTGCTCTCCTGAAAAGAAAGAAAAAAAATTACTTGTTGGCTGAATCAGTGAACAGAAGACTTGTATGCGAAGTACCTTGGATGACCTGTTATCGTTGTGTTGAGTATTACCCTTTGTTCTCCTTTATTCTCCTGCTTGTGGTCTCTCAGTGGTGGCAACACCATGTGTAGGGGGGGCTCTCAGTTCTCCCGGAAGTATGAGTGAGTCCCTTTACAGAGAGCCAGATTGTTATTCATTAGAAGGACTGAATGCATCTAAGTTTCCACAGTGTGGCTTTTCATGTGTCTGTTAGGTAGTATTTTATATCCCCTCCCTTGTGATTAGTTGACATTTTAGGGGAGGTCTCCATTTTATTATTAAAAATGTTCAAAAAGAATGCTATATGCCTATAGAGAAAGTTAGCCAGTGGCCAAGTTGAAATTTATGGAGATGGACTTGACGGTGATAGTTCCTTGTGTGTGTGTATCAATATCCAGTTTATTTATGCACCCCAAAGTTCTATCTTAAAAGGATGAAATGTGCCATATGTCTTTTTTTTAATCAAGAACAATTTTTATTAAGACCACTATTAGTAAAAGTTTATAGTCTTTTTAAATATCCCAGAATCTACTATGAGGAGCAAGTGCATGGGAATAAACACCAAAGCATAACAGTATATAATGCTCTGGTAAGTCTGTGGAACAAATTTTCATTTGTCTCATTAAATCCATCTTTTCTCTAATTTAGGCAACAGTTAGAGCAAAATATAACATTTGCCTTATGAGTGGTTCATAAGATGGGAATGGCTGTGCTTCTGAATTTTGTTCATGTCACCTTCTACACACACTCCGTAATACTTAGGTATCCTGGTTTTATTCCCAAAGAGGTCACCAGCTAATGGTTTCAATTTCGTAAGAAATAGATACAGAAACCTTGTCCTTATAACTAGTCCTGTCATTAACAGAAGCATGACTTATTCAAACGCTTGATGGGCTACAGCAAAATAGCATATTATGAGTTAATTAAAATAGAGAAAAATAAAGTCAGATCCTTCCAAGCATAAACATATATTTTAAATTTTATAGTAAACAAATACACTAAGTGAAGAATCCCATGTATCTAAATAAGATAATGCTGAACATACCTTATAAATGAATTTTACATATGATCTCTTTTGCAAACATGGTTGTGAAAATTTAGTTACAGACCCTTAAAAACTCCCCCTTTAATATACACCTCCTTGTGACACTGGTCAAGACAATTTGGTGCACTAAGGCAGCAGTCCAGGAAGTTAACCTCTCCCACTTTCTTCCTTAGTTTGAAGTTTTAGTGTCAAAATGAGGTCTTAAAATAATCCTTTCACAAAAATAAGGCAGCTTCCTGCTGTAAAAACATCAGTTCTCTGTCCAAAGTTATGTTCTTCTGTTCTCATCTGCTGTTAGCACCCAGCAGCCTAGCGACACCGACATGCAGCTCGCTGGCTGTCCAGGTATGGTTTACAGCCTAAATGCATAACACTGCCAAGTAAGAGCTCCACTGTTGTTTCACATGCCTCAATGTGCTGGGCTAGTCCTAGTGTTTTCTGCACATCGTCTTGGCAGATCTTGGAGAGGCAGTACTGCAACTCCTCATCACAGTCGTTCTTGCCTTTGCCGCCTGTCTCGTAGCACCTGTCGTGCTGGTTGCAGCACTTTGTCAGGGAAGGGATGCCGATGTTAAGATGAACACCGAACAGTGGAGAGCCACATCCATTCGGTGGGGAGAGTTTATAACCATAACGTGGGAAAGGCTTAGATCTGTCACTGCACTTAAACTGGCACAGCCCGTCCTCGCCCCCCAGGAGATCCAAGGCGGCGTTCAGGTACGTGTCCATCTTGTGCACGCCGTTCCGGATGGTGTTCAGGGTGGCCCTCCAGTCGGTGGTCTGCGCCTGATCCTGGCACGTGAGGGACGCGGTCAGGAGGAGGAGTTGGGGGAGGGCGAGCGCGGGCTGCTGGAGGAAGGCCATCCGCGCAGGCCCGGGCTGCGTGGGGACTCACGGGTCCCTGGAGCCGCTCGATGGGCGCGCCCCCCTGGAGACCGCCATATGTCTTTCACTGGGGTTGATATGCACACATGTATCCATTTGTATCTAATATGTACATGTGTTTGTGATTGTGTGTATGTTGTGTATATATATTAGAAAACACTTCTTTCACTTAATGCCAAATAAAACATATCAATAATAGGTTAATTTCAATTTTGTTGAGAGAAATTTACTTTAGTTAAAAATTGACTCTGCCGCAGTGATCAACACAGGCATTTCCACTACAGCATTATATATACATATATATACACGTTCTGCAAAATCATGCACTGAAAGTGAAACAGGACTTAAGGGAAAAACAGTGTTGAGGCAGACTGCTGAAAACCTATGGAACTCTGCAGCCCAAAACAGGAAACAGAAACAAATCTAATAAAAACACAGCTTGGTTAAATCTCCACCTAGCTCATGTTTGCCCTAAACAGGTCAAATTTGTCTTTGACAGCCTTCAGATTGGACTTGCGTTTCTTCCTCTCTGTGTTGCAGAGGGCATTTGCTTCTTACAGAGAGCCTCATCCGAGTTACATCTAGCCCAGAGAATAGCCCTCTTCATCCATCTGTGTAGAGAGAAATGTTTCGTAGCTTCTTCATCTGTAACTTGCTGTTTCGCTGGGCAGGTTCACATGTTGGGAAGCATATTGGTTCTTGAAGCCATGATCAGCCACTCTTCATATTAAAGGAAGGCACCTGAATTCATTTCCAGCTTTGTTCTAAGGTCTTACGTCGTGAAGTCTTTCTCTTTCCTTGTGAGAGCACTGTCCAATATTTGCTTCAAAATGTTAACAAATGAGGAAAAATCACGTAAGAATCAACACAGCTTCTTTTACTGACATCATTGCCCTGTTTCCCAGTCATGCCTGAGGTACTTCCTGTCAAATACATATAGTAGCAGAATAGACGGTCAGTGGTATAACTTCCTGAATCTCCGTACCAGTATTTGAAGAGGCTAATATCTTTAAAGAAAATATGTCAGTTGAGTTGATTCCTTGGCACATAGTAGGCACTTGATGAATATTGAATGGGTATATGATTCTCTTACCTTTTGAACATTAAATTGTCTGCCGTGGGTAGATACCAGCTTATTTTCAAATACAGTTTGATGTCAAATCAGTCCTCATTTCACAAGATCATTTCTTAAGGGGCTCAAGTTGTCCTTGAAAAGAGTTTGTATAGCTCTTTGCAACCTGACCCGTTGTTAAGGAATGGTTCAGCCATGGTAATTATCAAAGATCTTAAGTACTGGAGACATAACGTTTAGATTCCAAACAGAGAGGTTCTTCTGCATCTCTTGGATGGTGAAAAGAGGTATAGATGTAGCTGAATTCATAGGAGCATCATTCACTGGTTCATTTCTCTTTAGTGGAACACCAGATATATGTCAGGCACTAGGGAAACAATGAGATTGTGCCCGCTACAAGCCTCTGGTCTAGTGGGAGATACAGTTGAGAAACTTGGCAGTTTACAGTGTAGTTGGAAAAGTGTTAGTACAGGGAGCTTGGGTTCTCTAGGAGCATGGAGGATCCAGCCATGCGGGAATGACAGAAGGCTTCCCAGAGGAGGTGATGGCTACTGAGAAGTTTATGTTAAGAAATAAATGAGCATGATCAGATTTTTAGGACTTCTTTAGAATATTTATATTTTCTGTTCTTAAGAGCAATTTATGTTTTTTGTTGCATCTTTAAAAAATGTAAGCATAAAGAAAAATAAAAATTATAATACTTAAGATAACTGTTATACATTTAGCACATACCCAATGTTCAATAAATACTGATATCTGATTTAATTAAAAATGTTAACTTTTTTGTTGTAGATAGAAATGTAAGAATGAAATTGTTTTCTATACATATTTATGTAGCTATAGAAACCAAATTGGAACATTGGGTGCATACTGATTTATAACCCATTTTATTTTCATGTGTGCATGTATATATATGTGTGTATATATATATATATATATACACATGTGTGTATATATATATAAAATATAAATATAACAATTTTCTCAGAGCTTGAAATTTTCTATATCATGATTTTTAACGACAAGGTGATTTTCATTTGAATAGATGCACCATTTTTTCTTTAATCCTCTGTTGTTAGACATCTAGATTGTTTCTGTTAGAAACCACTATAAATATTGCTCTTAGTAATTTCCATGAACATAATTATTTGTATGTGTAGCTTATTGTTTTCCTCAGGACAAATTCTGAGAAGTGAAATTGCCGGCTTGAAGAATGTGAACATTTTTAACGCTATTGGTACATAATCTGAGATTGCCTTGAGAAATGGACACTGGATTAGATTAGAGAAAGACTGGGAAGCAGGGTGACCAGTTAATATGCTGTTGCAGCAATTGAAACAAACAACGTCGGTGACCTGAAGTAAGGGAGGGGTAGCAGAGATGGAGAGAAATGGATGGATTTGAAAGATTTAAAGAATCGACAATTTGGTGTGTCAGGCAGTATTATGTTTGGCTGCACATAATAGAAAATATACAATAATGGAGGCTTAAACAAGATTGATTTACCTCCATGAAATAAGCCTGGAGTGAGGCAGTTCAAGGTTGGTGTCATGCTCCATGAAGTTCTCAGGGTATCAGGCTCCTTCTGTCTCTTTCATCTTCAGCTGTGGCTTCTGTCCTCAAGGTCACAGCTAGGTGTAAGGTGGCCATGGAGCTCTAGCCATCTTTTTCGTAAGAAGATGGAGGAAACCAGAAGGAGGGAAGGGAAAAAGTCGAGTCCTCCTCTACGAACAGCTATCTGGAAGTTCTGTAAGATTCTCCTTTCATCTCATGGGCCTGAACGTAGTTATGTGGAACACCCATGTGCAAAGGAGACTGCAAAATGCATTTTCTTCATCCTGTTCCCTCCCCTTGCCTGATCAAATAAAACTTGATCAGTGGTATGTAGGAATTAAGGCAAAGGCAGGAGTGGAAGAATAGCTTTTTGGTTTTTGTTTTGGTCTTTTAGATGGTGGAAGCCGACAGGAAATAGCCCAGCAAGAAGCACTGATTAAAGGCAGTAGGGGCAGCGGGAAGGACAGTGAGTTATACAGTCACGGGTACCCAGGGATAGATGTCCGTAGCAGTAGGTCATGCGAGCTTGAAGGTCTCCAGCAGTACCGGGCATGGAGATAGAAAGTGGGGATCAGTGTAGAGATTATGATTAAAGCCAAAGGACAGTGTGTAAACATGAGGATCCAATGATGGGGTACTGGAGAAAACAGACGTTTAAAGGATGGAAGAAGGGAAAGAAGGTCAGATTTACAAAGACTAGCAAGAGAGGTAGCAGGATAAACAAAAGGCTTTGCAGTTATGGACGGCCATGGAAAGTTGCATTTCGAAGCAGAAGGTATGGTCATCAGGGTCCTTTGGATTTAGTAACCAGTTAGGTCATTGGTAACCTTAGGGGGCATCTATGCCATAGAGTATGCTGGTGGATGGTGGAGAGCTTGATTACATTGTGATGATGAGTGTGGGATGTGGGGAGTGGATGTGGGGGCATCTTCATGGGCAAAAATTTAAGAATCGTGGGAGTGATAAGAGAAAGTAAACGGGATACCCAGAGGTGGAGAGGACAGTGAATCAGCCATCTCCATTCCCCAGTTCTACACATACGCTGAGCTGTAGACTTTGGGTTGTTGGACTTAACATCCTTTGACGCAGCAACTTCCATAAACCCTACAAATCCTTTTTCTGCTGACGCATGACAGCTGGAGTGGACATCTTCAGTAACTGGAGCTGGAAGAAGAAAGAAGAACGTGTATAATATAGTCATATAGAACATTTCTAAATAAAATTTGGCCAAGGAAATGATCTTGCTCAGTTGAGGACAAGGAGATAAAGTTCTTCATTAGGGGTTTGTCATACAAGCATTTCTCTGAGAGGAGACGTAGGGTGGACAGAACACCACAGTGTTGAGAAATGAATGTGATGGTGTTTTATGTGTCACTGTACACATAAGATACTGTGGCTGGTCCAGTCATTCAATCTGACACTAATCTAGGTATATGGCTGGGAGGGTATTTGGTAGATGTGATTGAAGTCCATAATCAGTTGACTTTAGGTAAGGGAGATTATTCTAGATAATCTTGGTGATGCTGATTCAGTCAGTTGAAAGGCCTTATGACTAGAACTGAGGCTTACCTGAAGAAGAAGAAATTCCATGTGTGCATAGCAGCTTCAGCCTGGAAGAGTTGCAGCCTGTCCTGGAATGATCTGCCCTGTGGACTTCGGACTTGCCTAGCCAGCCCCACGACCCAGTTCCTTGCAATAAGTCACTTCATGTATTTATCCTAGTGGTTCTGCCTCTCTGGCTGAACCCTGATTGATACAGCCAGGATTCTCATCCACACTCCACCGTTTGATAACCCTGTGCAGCCAGATGTGTCCGACTCTTCTGGAACCTTGGTGGCCTCTGCTGTGAAATGAGATCTTTTCTGTTTTTGAAATCTCTTCTCTGGTTGAGTCTGTTGTTTCTTCAAATAAACACCTGACTTGTTAGTGGCTGTCATCTTGGTTGCATGCATGTGTGAAGAGGGGCCAGCTCCGGGAACCCTGCCATGCCTTGGTGTTATGTCACTCTGGAGCTGTTCTGTGGAGCCATGCTTAGATGGTGGGTCCAAGTGGTGCTGGACCTCTAGAGCAGGCCTCTACTGGGTCTGAAATTCACCTCTTCTTGAGTCTGCCTTCTGTCCTGGTCACTGAGTAAATGCTGGGGGTTGTGGAGTAGCTCCTTCTGGTCCAGCCCTCTTTTCTCGTTTCTTCTTCCAGCTCACTGTCTTCCTCTGACATTGCCCAGTTGACCTTAAGCAGTAGGGAGAAGCTGCTGCCTCCAAAGGTCACATCATTCCAGTGAAAGGACCATCATTTGGGCAGGTCTTATAAATGATAGGTTCCCGGGAAGCCTTGCAAGGCCATTGATTGGGCA